TTAGTTAGTTCTTGTTAAATGTCTTTAGCCCTCTTCTATAAAAGGGGCTGCTGTCTTCATTTGTTAGTAGTTTTTTCAATCAATAAAATTCTCTCTCATTTGGTTTACACCACTCCTCATCTTATAAGTTCTCCATTTTTCTCATTATCCCCTTTTCTCGTGTTTGTGGATGATGTTCTTAGTATATTGATGGGTAAAGGGGTGGAGAAGGTGTATTAAGGAGAGAGTCATGTCTTTCATCTCTAATTTGTGGACGACAATAGACAATTAAGAACATGTTTGAAGTTCGGGAGGAGTGTTTGAAACAAATTCATTGAGGTTGAAGGTGAATTTGGAGGGATCAGTGGTGTCTGGGGGGTAAATATGGAGGCTGGTTGAATAAGGAGATTGTTGATCTTGTTGGGTGCGAAATGGAAGAGTTACCAGTTACATGTCTAGTTATAGGCTACCAGTTATCCATGTGTATCAGATGAAGAGGACAACAGAAAGAGGGAGGTGCTAGAATACTAGTCTATCAGCTAGCTGGGGCCCACTTGTAACTAGATGATGCAACTTAGGAGAGTAGGGAATGTAAGTTGGATGTGGGGATCCAAGGGAGTATGCCCTTTTCAGTTGTGAAATAATTTTGGAGGATGGGGAACTCTGATCTTCCTCAAGGAATGTACCCCACTGTTGTTAATGAAAAAGATGAAAGTATTATCTCGGTATGCCTTTTGGGGATAATTGTAGGGAATGGATTTTTGGAGAAATGTTGAGGAAAGGGTGGCAAATTCCAAAAAATGTAGTTGAGGAATTAGTTGTGTTGGGTTTTTGCTTCGGATATCAAGGACATCTTGCTTAAGTTGTTTTGGCGTCTGGTATTTCCTCCCAAGGCTGGTCTTCCGTGGGTTAACGCCTCTAAAGCTATCCTATATGAGCTGGCATGAAAGAAATTTTAGGATTTTTAGGGCAAAAGGTTTTCAGCATCCGAATGGTTCAATATTGCCAAATTTAAAGCTTCTCACTGGTGTTCTCTCTCAGCCCTCATTGGAAATTACTCTCTGTCTCTCATCAACGCCAACTTGGGAGCTTTCATTTTCTCCTCTTAATTGTTATTCATTATGGTCTTTGCTTTGTTTTAATGTTTTCTTCACTCTTTCAAGAGTTTGTTTCTTTCAACCATTTTTGTTCCTTTTCATTCCTCGATGAAAAGTTCTGTTTTTTTTTTCATTTGTGTGGGGGGCGGGGGTGGTTGGTGGACAGCGAGTCATAAATAAAGAGATGGGGGTTGGTAATTTAGGAAAAAAGAATATTGCTTTGTTGCGTACAAGTGGTTGTGAAGGTTCCTAAAGAGGCCTTTGGAGTTGTGGAATCATGTTACTCAAGGTATTTATGGACAAGAAGAGGGTGGTCGGTTCCAAAATTCAAGAAGTATGGAAGGAGTGACAGTCCTTGGAGTTATGTATCAAAACTAATACTGCCATTCCAAGAAAATATTAAGTTCATGGTGGTTTGAAGTGCGATGGTGATGTTTTGGGAGGATACATGGTTGGTTGACCAACTATTACGTTGAAATTTCCTAACCTTTTTGCAGTGGCTGAACTAAATGATGGTTAAGTGGAAAGGTGTAGGAAAATGTAACAAAATCCTTGACGACCTTGACTAGAAGAAACTTATGAGTTACGAGATGAGGAGGCCAAGGAGTTTGGATTTATAGGGTATTTCGAAGGATGTGGTGATTGAAAGGGAGGAAGATTCAATTTGGGCTTTATAGGGTATCTAATAGGGGATTCAATTTATAAAATCATGTTTTGGACATCTTTGCAACTATTCATCTTTATTTATACTTTTTCAAGTTGCCAGCAGAAAGTTTAATTTTCTTCTATACCCCGTGTCTTCCAGATTGACAGGAAAAAAATTATTTAAAAGTGAAAACTTTCTCAAATCCACCTGATTTTAGTTAGATTTTTGACGTTCAGCCACAAAGTCCTGGGACTACTTCACCTCTTCAGTAGGCCTCTAAAAGAAAATGAAATTGTTGATTGGTTGGACTTATCTCATAGACTATTGTTATCGAAGCCTTCCCATACTAAAGGCAGATGGCAGTGCCTTGGAGACTCAACAAAAAAGTTTTTTTGTCATATCCATAATCCATTTTCAAAACCCACGATAGTCACCTACCTTAGGAATTAATTTCTATGTGTTTCTTGACACCAAATGTTGTAGGGTTAAGCGGCTGCCTCGTGAGATTAGTCAAGGTGTACTTAAATTGGCCTGAACATTAACAGATCATGTTCAACAAACCCACCCAAATCCAAATCGATGAGGATCAGCACCACTCATTATACGAGAATTTGCAGGGACAAATACCCTAAGATCAGTTTTTTTTTGGGAGATTAGCCACCCTTCAGTCAAACTCATGACAGGTTACGAAGGGAGAGTCCCTTCTTAGTCATCTTACCGAATTGCTGTCATATGTGTCTAGCCTAAGCCGAAACCAGGGCTATCTTTTTATAATATGTGCCTTTGCTATGAATTTTTTTGAACAGAATCAGATTTCTGTTCGGTTTGTGCCTTCCCTTCATGCAAACTCAAAGATCTTGCTTCACTCGGCATTGGTGTCTCGTACCTTCAAAAAGGAGGATGGGAATTCAATAGATTCTATGATTGAATTTTGTTATTAGCTCTGGGACGGTGTAACCATTCAATGATCTCACGTTGTAGTCCAGTTATGCGCTCACCTTTTTGTATTTCATTCATCAATAAAATTGAAGTTTATTAAAAAAGACAAATGTATTTATTATTATTATTCTTTTTGTGTGATTGCAGCTAGAATTTGTTGGATTTTTAATGAAAGAAATTTATGATTCTTGGGTCTTTGGTCAACCAAATCTGATTGAAATGCTTTTTGCCTAGGTTTTAAATGGGAAAAGCTAAAATTATCTGGATGAGTGCAGTTAGAAGCATTTATTTGGACTATTTGTTAGAAAGAAATAGTAGGAATTATATTTACAAATTATGAGATTAGGGAGAGGTTTTAGACTTGACTAAGTTTCATTGTCTAAATAAAAATTTTGAGTTTTTAAATACTTTTGCCGGGACAGCTTTGTAGCTTTTGTTCGGTGGGAATTTGTTAAACTCAAAAATCTAGTTTATTTGTTAACGTTTCAGACACGGGCGAAAACGAGCCTTTGGCCGCAAATTGAGGTGACGTTCAAGCAGATCGACACTGCAGCAACGGAGCTGGAGTGCTTTGAAGCTCTTCAAAAGCAAGAGCTATTAGCTGCTTCACACAGGATTAGTGGTATCTGGGAGGAGGTTCACAAACAAAAAGAGCTGGAAAGAACTCTGCAGCTACGTTACGGTAACCTTTTGGCAGACTTGGAAAAGATGCAAAAAGTCATGGACGAGCACAAGGCACGGGCACTAAAGGAAGAAGAAATAGCAGCAGCGAATCGTGCTCTTCAGTTGGCTGCGGTCGAGGCCGAGGCTGAGGCTAATCAAACCATTGGAGTAAATGTTGAAAGTTCTGAAGCCGTGTCTGCATTAGCAGTTGATCATGAAAATTCTATGCCTGTTACCTCATCTCCTAATGAAATAATGGGTGAACAACCGAACTCGTCTGAAGGACAGGGACATGAACATGGCACTTCTAGTGCTATGGATATTGGTTTGGAGAAAGAGAATGCAGCGGTGAGCTCGGATATTGGCTTATCTGATAACAAACCCACTCCCGCCACAGAGAACACATCATTCCAAGACAATGGTTTCGAAAATTCTGATCAAAGTCACACTGGTGATGTTCCTTCTCAAGAACTCTCGGCCCCTCCTGCAAATGGCACTCCAGAAGTAACCACTGTGGTCGAAAATAAGATCACTGATGATTTGGTTCATGGAGTAGCTATCGAAAATGCCGAGATTGTTGAGGGAGTCAAAGATGTCGAAAATCAGCTGCCTGTGATTGAATCTGGAAGCTCAGATGTGAATTCGACTCATTCAGATTCCGCTGTGCCTGCATTTTCTAATGAGGATGGCCCTGCCACTAACGATGATGTGGAAATCCCGCGGGTGGCATCAAATGACTAGATGATAGACGATTCGGACTGTTTTGCAGCTTGTTTTTCTGGTGGGATGAGAGAGAGGGAGGATGAGTGAGAGTTAATTCCATGAAATAGTGTAAGCAAATGATTTTAACGTAAAAAGAGAAGCTGGGGTTGAGATTGTCTGAAACAACCCCTTATGATGAAGCACACACCAGTTTGTATTGCTTTCTTTTTGTAGCATTTTCTTCACTAAAGCTTAATATTTATGGGTATCGATGACATTTCACTAGTATTGGATATTTTAATCTCTATCTTATTTGCCTTTATTTTATTTATTACATCGGGAATTTAGATTTAGCCTTAAAATTTGGTGCTTGAACTTCTATGGTCCGTTTGATACCCATTTCTGTTTTTGGTTTTTGGTTTTTCTTGTTTTTAGTTTTTGGTTTTCTGTTTTAAAAACAAGAACCATGATCATTTTTGGTTTTTTGTTTTTAAAAAATAGAAAACCAAACATGTTGGGTAATCATTTTAGTTTTTTGTTTTTAAAAAGTTAGAAAATTGAAAATATATATTTGAGAGAAAATTCTATGTAGAGTAGAGATGACAATAGTGTGGGTGCGAGTGAGGATGTTCTTCCATTATCGAGCTTGTGAAAATTTTTAGTTCCCATCTCCACCTCTTTATTCGGTTCTGAGAGATGTTCTCGAAAAAATTATCGGTTTTATAATTGTTTTTAATTATTTTTAGAATTTAAGTATAAAAAATGTAATAAATATATATTAATTATTAAAAAATGGAATTGGGGATGGGGTCAAGACATTTCCTATTTTTGGAGTTTGACTTCACGGAAATTTTTGTCAAGATGTAAATAAGCTTTTGAGAGATAAATTTTAGAGAGATCAAATAAAAAGATTTAGAAAAAAAAATAGTGAAAGAAAAGTTAAAAGAAAAAAAATAGAAAAATTTTAAAGAAAAAAAGCAAAGTTGAGGAAAAAATACGTTAAAGAAAAAAATTAGAAACAAAAAGAAAAATTACAGTGGAAACAAATTTAGAACTAAAAACAAGATTCAAAATATAATTTTTATGGAAAATAAATAAATACGAAATAAAAATTATAGTTGAATGAGAAAAGAAAATAATTATCAGAGGAAAAAATAGATTAGGAAGAAAAAGAAAAGTTATAAAAGACTAAATTTTAAAGAGAAAAAAATTAGGAAAAATATTAAATTTTTAGGAGAGAAATGAAACTGGTATGTTAGAAAAAAATAAAAAATAAAAAAAACAGAAAATTTTAGAGAGAGACAAATAATAATAAATATTAAAAAATTATGAAAATTTTAGAAAGAGAAAAATAAATTTTGTAGAGAGAAATTTAGAAAGAAAAAAATTTTAGAGTGAGAAAGAATTATAGAATGGGAAAGAAATTTTTAGAAATAAATAAGAAAAAAAAGTTTATTTGAAGAAAAAAATCAAATTTTGAAAAACAGAAATATGTTCTTGAAAACTAAGATCTTTAAAATTTATATAGAATTTCAAAATGGTTTTTAAAAATAAAAAATAAAAAATTGAATTGATTATCAAATAGTACAGTTTTTAAAAAACAAAAAAACAAAAAAAAAAGAAAAAAAAACCAAATGGTTATCAAAGGGTTAGAATTTTGTATTTAATTACTTTTTGAATTACAGATCAAGAGTTGATTTTCATTTACGACAAATTTGTTTTGATTATTCATTTTTTGACGGTAGTCATTTTTACAATATTTAGAATGAATTCCTGTGATTATCTTTGTTTACGTTGCGACGCTTTGTCCATGAACTTCTCTTCGATGAAGGAAGATCAAAATAGAGATGTCTTTTCCACAGTTTTAGCCAATCCTCTCCTTGAACGGACTATCGAGTCTTTTTTTTAACTTTGAGAGTTTGTTCTTGTTTTTGTTACCTACTTGGTATAGAATTTGGAAACACATTTGCAGTCCTATTTCTAAAAACGTCTGAAATATGTTTTTAAAGTTCTCGAAATTTGAAGTGCCACTACTAATTGATTTAGCACAATTTTTTTTCTTTTTTACCATTTTTATGGCTTTGAATTTAGTTTAATTAAACCATTTGATTTTCTAATTTCTCCTTTTTAAAATTAAACTTATAAATACTATTTTATGTCTTTATTTTGTTATATCTACTATTTAAAAATGTTTTCAAACTATAAGCCTAAATTTGTTTTCAAAAACTTGTTTTTATTTCTAAAATTTGGCTAATAATTCAAATATATTCTGAAACATTAAAATATGTAAAAAAGTGTTTATGCAAGGATATGCACAACAGTATATTTCCGACTGCAGCTCGAACTCGGAACCCGGACCGATCTGAATACCTGTGGCGGACCTGCACAAAAAGGTGAGCACTCCGACGATCAAGTCAGTACAGGTCGAATTCTTAGTTTAGTTCGAGGTCCGAAATCATCGTACCTGATCGTGGAGTGAGGTCCTCTATTTATGGGTGGTAGTCCCGCCAATCTCGCGACGGTTACA